ATAAACTACCGCTGAGTTAAGCCAGTGTTAGTATTTTTATCAGATATACACTAGTTTAGGGGTAGGTAGGGATTGTTGTTACTAATTTATTCTTTTCTTTAAATCTTCCCAGACATATATTTTGTATTGTTTATTCTGTTGGGAGTTTGTTTTCTTCTGTTTTGTAAATAAAATGGTGAAATGAAGTTTCTTGTATGTCCTTAATCGTGAGGCTGCATCTCGTAACTGGGAAACAGCGTGAAGGAAAATTCTGCTGTGGATTGACAGGTTTATACCTGAAACATACCCTCTTGTGGCAAACATGCAAGTTAGAATGGAAAACACGCAACGCAAAGTAGAATCATAAACTTAACATGTAGTTTCCTCAAGAGAGAGAGAGAACCACGCCTGTTACAAGTACTTGGCGCGCCATGAAAACTCTAACATGACACTGTTAAAACTTACCTGTCAGTTATCCGATTCAGATCTGCAAGAAGGCATCAGGACAGTATTTGATAACATATCAACAGGTGCACTGAATAGGATTCAAACCAGACTCCCCATTACCTATCACGTGCTGCTCAGCATCATCAAGCAGGTCAAGACTGGTGTATTGGGCCATACAATGATCTTGTGATGGAGTGTATGTGTCTGACAGCATTCTTTGGATTTCTTTGAATGTGGAGAATTCACATCTGCTGGGAACTTTGATCTCGACGTGAACATAACCTTGGATGACATTCACTTTGATCACTACATTAAGAAATGTACCATTACCTCAAAGGTGTCCAAGACTGATCCCTTCTGTCGTGGTGTTTCTATTTCACTCTTCCTAACCAACACCATGACATGTCCATATTCTGCCCTGTCCAGACTGTTCTCAATAAGAATGCAATGCAGTGCTCCACTGTTCATCGATCGGGAGTATCAACCCATATCTAGGACAGTGTTTCTGGCATGGTTGTGTCATGTCCTTGCAAGAGCCGGCTACATTTCAGCAGACTACTTGGGGCATTCATTCTGGATTGGGGCGGCCACAACAGTAGCCACAGTAAACATTGAAGACCACCTGATTAAGACCATGGGAAGGTGGAATTCAGACTGTATTATAAGATATATCAGGACTTTAGACATCCTTTGGCTCCGCCTGCATTCTTATGTCACGTATTCTATTATGTTAGTTAGTACCATACTTCGTGTAGGGTCATATATCATGTATAAGTGTATATATATACATATACCCGGTACACAATTTACAACTTCTGGGGCTGCCTCGGCGCTGCAAGTTACTCCATAGAGCATGGAGGGCTTGTGGCCTCCAAAGAGCATAACTTAAACAGATAGCATCTGGTCAGCACGAACCCAGGACCACCATACCCTAGGGATCATCTGGTTCATCAAACCCCAGGACTGGTATATCCCTCTCACTTAACACAAGTCCGGGTCCCTAAGACCCCAGGACATTCAATCTGCCTGCCTGGGTCAACACGACCCTGGGGTCTCACACTACCCGGGTGACCACAACACAGTAGGCAACCGAGGCAGCCCCCATATTATGCCAAACATTTGTATGTAAATATAGGTTTCTTGTCATGTACTACTTTTCATGTTGTGTGTTGCACAAAACCATGATTATAATGCTAAACTGGATACAATGCCATTTGCCAATGGTTTGGGGAACAAAAGTAATTTTACCTTGGTTATAATGCCAACTGCATGTAGGATACATTCCTTAATTGGTTAATTGACATGATTCAGGTTACTAGTAATTGACCAAACTCATTAATGCTTTTAGTAGTCATGTTCACCCCCAGTTTACCATGAAAGAATCATGGCTACTAAGCGTCAATGTATTTTGCATTTATGTGCAAGAGTACATGTGCTACGTAGCTGAAAAATAAAGAATGATCAACAAAGTACCTTTTTCTATAAGAGTTTAAAAAAAACAACGTTTTTAAACAATCTGAAATTTATACTCAATTCAATAGAACTTATGTATGATATACTCAAAGGCAAAAGTTTTGTGACACACAAACATCCAACAGAATCAGTGTTTAACTTTTATGTTCATGCATTGAATGACAAACGTTTCAAGGTATGGTAACAATCAGTAGTCCATAAGAACAGTTCACTTGGCATATGCAAATGAGCCACAACACAACAGGGGGTTCAGAAGCAGGTTCACATGGTGTGTCCACCTTGTCCATTGATGCAGGTCTGGCACCTTCAGCACATTCAGGCCACAAAGCATTGATGAAAGTCCTGAGGAAGGTTATTCCATACCTGTGGAAGGATTTGGCGGAGTTTCTTAAGTGTTGTAAACGTTGCTTCATTTCATCCCAGACAACATGTTTATGGGGGAAAAATCAAGGGATCTTGCAGGCCATAGTAGCTCATTAACATTGTTCTGATTAATATACTCCCATGACACATGTCATCGTATCCCAATTGCATAGATCAATGCTCATGCTGTTAATCACAGGATTGTCTGGTCAAGACTTGATTATTTACAAACCGCTGCCATATAGCTGGAATATTGCTGAGTGTGGCATAAAACCAAACTCACTCACTGATTAATATACAGATACACCTCTTTTATGGTACAGCTCTGTTATGGTACAGGATATAAGGGTTGCTGGCTGGAACCTCTGTTAGAGTTGCATGGTTTTAAAGGGCCACTGATCCAGAGCGATTAATGTTTCTTGCCAACAGTCAAATTACGAAACTAAGCTGCAGGCTGGTCGGTACCTGCTCACTTGACTGTGATGGACACGGGGACTGGGCTACTGTCCACCTTGGCAGAATTTCTTCTGTGGGACATTAGGAAGGGTGGATGCCCGTTATTTGAAAATATCCCTGGTAGTTCTTGTCTGACTGTAATAAAGAATTCCAGCAGTGTAAACATTTTCAGATTTTCTAATGCCTGGATGGTATAATGACTGATCCAAATTGATCCTAATTCTGTTTTTTTTACCTCGATATTCAATCATCTCATGTAAAAATATGATGTTTATTACCTATGCTATGATATTAAAAACACACAGTTGATGTATTTGAATCCGTAAACTAAAAAACCCCACCTTGCCATTTCTAGAAAAATCTAAAAATTTACTTATGTTAATGGGTATATACAGTAAATGCGTATATGTATTTCTTACACAACAATGCAGTTCCGTTCTTATCCTCAAAACAGTGTCAGCCTATAAGTTTTTGTCAGGCAATAAAATCGCATGCAATACAGTGTACTACTCCCTTTCTGTAACTCGTGTTTGGTGGTAAACCTACACATTATTTGTTATCATTCACTTGATGGTCAGTTAAAGTATTTATAACAGGTATAATTAGTGGTAACACCACTCAGATTACCCAACAAAGGTTCTCATTTGGCATTTCTCGTGTCTGGAGTAAATACTCAACATTATAAATTAAGGTCTGATGTGGCAAATGTATTACATCTTATGTAATATGCGCATGGAAGTGCAGCAAGAGGGATTATCAGCTGAGTTACAAAAACAAACATCGATCAAAGGATTAACCAATAACGTGCTCATTCATTAATTGCTTTTATCTTGCGCAGTGGATTTGTCAAAAGGTAGTGTTTATGTAGCCTATGTAGATTTACTAATCTATACTGAATACACCCTGTCGCAAAGTGCCTGTGTAAAAACAACGACCTCCCTTCAAAGGATTAACTGCCAATACATTGATTGATTGCTCATTATTGGCTATCTAAATTACTTTGTTAAAGAATGGCGGACATCATGCAATTAGTTGCCAGGTGTGCTATCTTGAGTGACCAATCAGTCTCTACACCAATATGAAAAAACCTGAAATGGTGTATCACTTTTTCGCATATTAGACTGTTACAAGACACATGACCTCGAGCAGGATTATTTGTCAGCTGAAAGTGAATGGCACATCGTTCCTTTATCTGGATATTGATGGATACATTCCTCGAACAAGGCAGGATAGCCTGACATTGTTGCTGTAACTCTAGTCTGTTTTAATTTTAATATTTGCATTTTGTTTTTATTCATTTGTTGTAGCATTATACAGAATCATTTTTTTCGCCTTGAAGTGTAATGAGACAGACAACATACACTAGGTCGCACTTGGGGCGTGTGTGTGTGAAATAATACATAATCAACGTTGGCAATCTATAAAATGTCTAGATATTATAGTCATGTTATAAATTCACAATAAGTATAAGCATATCGTGTGCATTTTATTAGGTTTCAAAATGCATACAAATATGATAATAAACTAATGAGGATTATAAGACAAAATATATAGACGTACACTGACTTCGTTACTTTTCAGTCCTAACATTTTTCACCACTGGCAGATGGTTAAACTTCAAAATGTTTTCATTTGTTATCAAATTAATGAAGATGGAAATATTATCGAGTAAAAAAGATTTCATCTTTGTTGATCAGTCTATACTTATACTATCAACTGCGTATGCGAGTAGGGCAACAGTGGTCACGAACCAGTCAAGAATTATGGGATATCATCAGGTACTCACAGAAAAACAACAATAAAAGCAACAACCAGTCCATGGAAATTGCTGTGGATCAGTGACCCTTTAATCCATGTGTTTTACATTGGGTTGTAACGTTTGGGCTGCCACTACTGGGATGGTCTGTAACTGGATTCTTTTGCTGAAAATGTTGAACTATGAACAATGTGAGGTACCAGACTGAAGGATACCTATAGCTCTCCATCTGACATTTTCCCTGAGGGATTACCAAATATAAGCGTTTGGTTGTAGGGCCTTTAGCAGTGAACTTTGCTTTCCATTTTTCTCAAATATGTCATTCTTTTTGTAAATTTCATGCAATTCAAATAACAACCATATTAACACCATTTCTCTGGTTCAAATAAAAACATCATTTACAAGATTACCAATGAAAAACTTTGTGTCCGTGAGTATTAGCTCATTTTGAATGTACAACTAGAACAAATACCTTTCGATCCTGAGTTTATAGTTCTTATGGCTTTCATTGCTTTGCTCTTTGCAGATGTGATATCAGTTCTTGGCAGCGAAGATGCCACAACTTGTCACATTGTTGTGCTACAACATTCTGGTGAGTACATAGCTGCATATATATGTTCTGATAATACAAAAAAGAATTTGTACATAGAGACTGTAAATACTTAAATGTAAGGAAATGAAATGTGATGTGATGTAATGTGATGTGATGTAATGTGTTAAGCATGTGTTTAAAATGAGGACCGCAATTTGACCTTCTCTCTCTCCAAAGACAAAAACATCATTTTTTCTATCTATGGGGATTAGACAGAAAATCAATTTTTCAGAATGCTTTCTTGCCATTAGTTTTCCATTCACCTGGTTTACCGTCATTATTTGACATCAGAGTTTACTTCCAGAGTATAATGTATTCTCGCTCCTGGTTTTTTCTTCATTGACATTGACATTCAAACAACAGCACCTACTCGTATTCATATTTCTCAGCTTTCATTGGTAACCTTTCGCATGTCAGATTACAGACTGGAGTTAGGCACAGTCTTGATTCTCTAAATTGTTTACAAGACATACATGTACTTGATATCATATGTTGCAACTGTTATAGGCTGTGACATGCATTTCCCATTTAACAGCATAATAATAATGATGCGAATACCATTAAATATATTTAGGTGTGGGAAAGCTCTGTAATGGCTAAACTCTGGAGAATGAATGGTGCTCTTGTAGCTCACTATAACCACAAAATTTGTGAATGGATATAAAACTGAAATGGAATATTTCGCCTTATATCACAGTTTATCGTTGTAGAAAACTTGCTTTGTTATACCAGGGGAACATGTACAGATATTGTTTGTTTTGTTTTCGTGCCATCTTTGATGTATACATAATAAGGCCTATTAACATTCCAATGTAATCCTCTCATATGATGTGTATATTAATAGTGTAATCACAGTTTAACTAACAATATCATGAGCTGCAAATACAAGACAAAATGAATGGACTATGTGAAGGGCATCATGATAACTTTAGGGACACAAGTTTCCCCAAATACATTTGGTAAGGCTGATCTGTTAAGTAAGATTACTCACTGGTAAAATATAGACAGCAATGCTGACACATGGATAATTGATTTGAATGTTAAAGTCCAATATATTCAATTTTTCAAATAATATCACAACAATAAGGACTTAACACGTATCATTAGTAACTTTCATCATTTATTTTCACACTTGGTTTTCACATAGCCTTGTATCACTTGCTGGTCTCGTCACGATATGGCTGCGATATTGCCGATGTGACGTTAAATATTAACTCACTCACTCACTCACTTGCTGGTCACCTGACATGACAAGTCTGCCATTCAGATCCAGTTTATGTTTTCAGTTAAGTCAAACAAACTCGTTTGTTTGTTTGTTTTCAATATAAAAGTAAGTTGGTTTTTTTGTTATTCTTTTTCAGAGGCTCAAGTTAAGTCTATGTCAAGCATTTAAGCTACCATGCCTTGACCATATGACCCATAGTGGCTAGCCTTACATGAAAGTGTGGCAAAAGGCACACTCACTCCCTCCCTTACATGAGAAATTAAATATTCATCAAAATTGTTGCAGTGACATAATTATGAGAGGCTTATTATATGAGCTGTAATTATCTTTGAATCTCAAAGAATTATATTTTGCAGATGTTCAACATATCAACCCCACTGAACTGTGGCTGTGGAGCAGTGTGTTCTTCAGTTTAATTTTTTTTCTATACATTTGCAACAAGTGTAACAAACAGCTTCTGAATAGGACTATTATAGTACTGCTTGTTTTGTTTGCTATATTGTATCTCTTTCTAAGTGGTTGATGTGGGGAATTAGTTCAGCCAAGAGTCTGAAGTCACAAGTAGCTAATTACAACTATATTTACAAGAAGGGAATAACATATAACTGGTGTGGCTACAGTGAGTTGGTAAAACCCTCTTATATGAGTGCAAGAGCGACCATGTGTTAGTCTAAACCTACTGCCCAACATTGATGATGATGATGATGATGATGATGATTTGGAGATTTAACCTGAAGTATTATCAACAATGATAATAATCCTTAGAAAACTACCTCTAACACTTAATTGCCTTTTTCCTGAAACTTGTTTCTGAGGTTTAACTTGAATAATAAAGTAGTATAATGGGGATTCTGCATCACTTTCTCCTAGAGGGGTTATTTCTATGTAATGTTGCTCCCAGCATCCACTGAAAATAATGATTTGCAAGTGGAGACATCATTCGATGTCCCGACAATATCGATGGCAAAACAACCCTCCAACCCGTGGAAGGTCTACCTCCATATGTGGACGATATCTACGTATTCGGGTATTTTTGACAAAAAAGAGTAGTTTCCACCATAGCGAGTGCCGTACGTGAATCATTCGGGCAAGAGGAGGGCTATAAGCAAACCAAAATCATACATACGCTACAATATGCCATAGATGCCGGTCTACCTCCATTTGTGGAAGATGGTTTTCGAGTGGAGACATCATTCGATGCCAATCTCGGCAAAACAAAGGTCCAATCCCTGGTTTTCGAGACATAGTTCGATGTACATACCATCTCGATGGCCAACTGACCGCCTCCGTGGTGTAGTGGTTGGAGCGTCCACCCGGAGAGCCGAAGGTCGCGGGTTCGATCCCTGACCGCGTCATACCAAAAGACATTAAAATATGGTACTTGTTGATCCCTGCCTGGCGCTCAGCATTAATGGGTACAACAAGGTCTGGTCGGCTCGGAGTCAGTATAATGTGTCTGAGTGGGGTATTCATGCTTCACTGCGGCATGGTATCTCAGTGGGCTAGCACTATAAAACCAGCTTCAGTCTGGGCTAGTACAAGCAGCCGCACATACACATACACACGCATGCATGTCGTCATATGAGTGAAATATTCTCAAGCACGACGTAAAACCCAATTTCACCTCACCTCACCTCACCTCGATGGCCATCTCGGCCAAACAAACCTCCTCCAACCCCTGGTTTTTGAGAGGAGACATCGTTCGATGTACATAGTATCTCGATGGCAACCCAACTACAGACATAGAAATACCAACATATGGATACTTTCTAGAGAAAGAAATAGAAAAACTTGGTGGGGTAGAAGCCCTGCAGAAAGCAAACAGCTTGCTTCTCTGTAGAGTAGGCCCGGAAAAGACGACACCGCACAAAAACAAAGATAGACTGGTGTCTGTTGTATACAGCTAGAAACAAATAGTCCCACCAGGAATACAGAATAGAATACCACCAGCATATCCAATGATATACAATCTGCTGTGATTTGCAAACCGTTTTTCTGTATCGTTGCCAAAGTGGCCTAGTATACGAACTTGTCTGTCTATTGGGCCTTCTTTAGCCATTTCTCATAGCTTTTGTCCACAGAAGAATACTCCATAGGGTTCTCTTTCCAGTTTGTAGCCTCTGCTTTGTCGAATTCCTCGAATGGGAAGCGGGGTGGATTTCCTCTGTTGTATACAATATGCATGCTGCAAAATATATATTTCTATATCTATATTTCCAATAGCAAGAAAAAGTATCGCATCTCTCTCAATATTTTTTTCTTCTATCCTAGTACATATAGTGGGGGTGTCCGAAGGGGACCATGGAAACTGGTTTGGGTGTTTCTGTCTTCTTCTCATCGGCCTGTCTGTCGACTGGTCTGTCGGTCGGTGTGCTGTGCTTCCTGGTCTTGTAGACGACCTTCCAGAGAAACATGGCGGCTAGCGAAAGGTAGGTCCACTTTTGGGCCGATTCTACCATCTGCTGCACCTCAGGGAGGAACAAGAAGAGACCTGTCTGGATATCGAGAAGGTGCGGCAGATGGTAGAATCGGCCCAAAAGTGGACCTTTCGCTAGCCGCCATGTTTCTCTGGAAGGTCGTCTACAAGACCAGGAAGCACAGCACACCGACCGACAGACCAGTCGACAGACAGGCCGATGAGAAGAAGACAGAAACACCCAAACCAGTTTCCATGGTCCCCTTTGGACACCCCCACTATATGTACTAGGATAGAAGAAAAAAAATATTGAGAGAGATGCGATACTTTTTCTTGCTATTGGAAATATAGATATAGAAATATATATTTTGCAGCATGCATATTGTATACAACAGAGGAAATCCACCCCGCTTCCCATTCGAGGAATTCGACAAAGCAGAGGCTACAAACTGGAAAGAGAACCCTATGGAGTATTCTTCTGTGGACAAAAGCTATGAGAAATGGCTAAAGAAGGCCCAATAGACAGACAAGTTCGTATACTAGGCCACTTTGGCAACGATACAGAAAAACGGTTTGCAAATCACAGCAGATTGTATATCATTGGATATGCTGGTGGTATTCTATTCTGTATTCCTGGTGGGACTATTTGTTTCTAGCTGTATACAACAGACACCAGTCTATCTTTGTTTTTGTGCGGTGTCGTCTTTTCCGGGCCTACTCTACAGAGAAGCAAGCTGTTTGCTTTCTGCAGGGCTTCTACCCTATTTTTCTATTTCTTTCTCTAGAAAGTATCCATATGTTGGTATTTCTATGTCTGTAGTTGGGTTGCCATCGAGATACTATGTACATCGAACGATGTCTCCTCTCAAAAACCAGGGGTTGGAGGAGGTTTGTTTGGCCGAGATGGCCATCAAGATAGTATCTACAGCAAACGATGTCTCTGCTGGTTGGAGGAGGTTTGTTTGGCCTCGATGGCCATCGAGGTGAGGTGAGGTGAAATTGGGTTTTACGTCGTGCTTGAGAATATTTCACTCATATAACGACATGCATGCGTGTGCATGTGTATGTGCGGCTGCTTGTACTAGCCCAGACTGAAGCTGGTTTTATAGTGCTAGCCCACTGAGATACCATGCCGCAGTGAAGCATGAATACCCCACTCAGACACATTATACTGACTCCGAGCCGACCAGACCTTGTTGTACCCACTTTTTTTTACCTCGCTTCCAGGATTGGGATTTCCTGGGAGAGGATTGGGATTTCCTGGGAGAGGATTGATAGAGGATTGGGATTTCCATATAGACATATGGGAAGTATGGGATATATATACCCAGGAAAGCCGAATCCTCTCCCAGAAAGTCC